AAGAAGCCACACAAACACACGCAGATCGCTGACAGATGTTGGATCGTCAATTATACATAGAATTGTTTAAATATATGTGAATCTGCTTGCCCATATGTACACCTACATTATATGTAATTGAGAGAGAGAGAGAGAGAGATGTGTGGGTGTGTGAGGTTAATTATGAAAATCTCCATTGATGAAGGGTGAAGAGCATAAAAGAGAGGGATCAATTGCACATTTCAACATTTTCATTGTTTTTGTCCGTTTCCTTAATAAAACCAAATGATTATTTCACTTTTCTGTGTCCAGATCCATGGGACGGGATTATTACATACCCCACCCCCAAAGTCCAAACCAAACCTCAAAAATAAATTTAAATTGAAAAAAATAATTATTGGGTAATTTTTAGTCCTTGTTTGATCCCATTATTTTTAGAATACTTTTTTTTCTTTTGTTTTTAACCACACATTTTTCAATAAAATAATATTACATGTAAATTCAAAAATTTTCTTATTTTTTTAATCACACATTTTTTATCAATTAACTATTTCAAACTGCATTCTTAATCTTTCAATGGGGCTCAAAATGGCTCTTAATTAGTTATATTGGACGATTTTTGGTTAGTTTTGAAATCAATACTCTTTATATATGGGTACCCATTGATTTCTTGTATCTGCTCCATCTATCTATAACTCTCCGGCGTCTTTGACTAGTGACCAAAAAATGGTAGCGATCATCCATTCTAAAATATTTGTAGCAAGATGAAACTTAACTATAAGGAAGACAAAACACACCCGTTTCAAAAGTGCTTTGAAAGGCTTAAACTCACATCAACCCAATACAAGAAGGATGCCTTATGTAATTCCAAATACCAATTTTGGAAACATTCATGATTAGTGGCCCAATAAATGCCCAGTAATTGACTGCTAAAGGAAAATACGTAAGTTGTCATCCTCTTCCTTTAGCCTATTCATCTTCAAATTCCAGCCACGTTGGTTTCAACCTAGTTCTACCCATTTCACATTCAGCCCTCAAAAATGAAAATTTTTAGTTTTCAATCATACAGAAACTATAAAATTGATTTTCTTGAGAAATTTCCGATTTGATTTTGTTTCGCGCGGGTAGTCACTAACAATTAAAAAGGAATCAGATGATTGTGTAAGGAACAAATCTCTTGAGACAAAGTCCCAAAATGGGTATTTTATTGACAATGACTTTACAATTGGAACTAAACAGAATGCCTCCAAGGGGCGCAAGCACACGAGTACTGAAAAGAAATGTTTAAGTTTAAAATAAGAAATTGAAGTTACATATTCTCTGTTTGAGAGTGTTTGATTCAGGGTCCTTTTGCTCTATGTCTTCTCTTTCTTTTATATTCCCTTAATGATTTCCTCGTGATCAACCGCTTAGAAATTGCTTGATTGCTTTATAACTACCCACTTTCTTTATGGTGGCTAATTTGTCGTGGAATTGCCGTCTCTAATTACTGTCACTACTCTTTGTCATTCAACCGTCTTCAACTGAACTCCTTAAATCGTAGAACATGATAAGGTTACTCAATAACTGTACTTCTGGATAACCATAACATCTTATGTTTGCTAAGATCTTGGGCGATTCGAAGGTTTGGGCGAGAACAGGGTCATAGCTCTGGGTGACTGTAAGACACTTCATTCGCTTAGATCTTGGGCATCTTGCAGACTTGGGCGATGATGTTACCGTGTTCGTGGGCTTCCACTGTATTCATTAATAACCCTATCTGGGTTTTTATCCTGAATTGTCTAGTTGGGTTTCATTCTTTGGGTTATTCGATTTGGGTTGCACTTTTAGTGTGTCAACTATTATCCCCCAATATGGCAGAATTAATACCAATTATTAATCTTTGCCATATTTACTTTGTGTTTCCCAGCAACATTTGAAATTCCCAAGAATTTCAATCATTATTTCCTTCCATAGCTTGAAAAAGTGCGACATTACAAACTCTTATAAACCCCAAAGACAAGCCATTTCGTTGTACTACTAAATCACGCCTCATTATTTCGCGCTTCTTTCTCGCCATACCACTGTTCATCTTCTTACTTCTCTGCTATGTTTCTCAGGCAAACTTTAACAAAACTGTATTTCGTCCTCAATGGCGGCTCCACAAACCCAATCTGATGACTCTTTTAGCTTCAAAGATTTCCAGAAAATCCTCACTCGGCCATATGTAAACCCGAACTTTCTTGCACCAGCCAATGCCGAACTTGATGAGTTCTATCTAGGTCCTTCATTTAACAACGCCGAAACCGTCGAACAAGTGGCAGTAGGCCAGCTGTTCCCTTGTACTCAAGACCCTCCATTCCTGAACTCTTTGTCGCTGAGGCCGATTTGCGAAAATGGTATTCGCACTTGGCCTAAATATGATATTGTTTAACGTAGATGGCATGCTCGCCTTGTGGGCCATTGTCCTACCAAGACACTTTTTGATCGTGCTAGGATTTCTAATTTATTAGAAATCTCTCTTCAACCCCCAATTTTTGACCCAGCATTTTTTCCTATTGCTTTAAGTTTTTGGTCTTTTGAATATAATACTTTTGTTTTCCCTCTTGGTCCTATGTCCATTACTTTAAGGGATGTTGGGGCCCTGATAAATCTTCCACCTTTGGGCGACACCATTTTCCCTGGTATTTTAATTTCCAGTGTTGCCCAAAAATTTGACAAAAAACTCACCGAGTCCTATTCAAGCTTGCAAGGCTGTTATAATCACTCAAATGCTGAGCCTTCCCACGCTGAGCGTGTGGCCTTTATTCAGATTCGACTTTGTAAATATATTCTGTGTGTGCTCAGTATAAAGCCTTCTATGAGCTATTTACCCATAGTGCACAAATTGGCGTGTGGTAGGCCTTTGAATTTGTGTTCTTTCTTTTTTGCTGCCCTCTATAGAGGCATGGCTTCTCTTCAATTTCAATTGAAGAATGGTGCATCTCCCACTGGTAGTGAGCTTCTTTGGTTCACTCAACTGTGGTTGAGAGCCTATTTTCCATCACTTGGTGCTCTATCCATGTCCCTTCGTTCTGTCAGCTGCTACGGGCTAGCCATTGACCCATTGAGTCATGTAAATATGTCTAGAAGGGACATTTTTTCATTTTTTCATTTTTTTATATTTTAAATTTATTTTAAATTTTTTCATTTTTTTATATTTTTAACTTCAGATTATGTGCAACCTCCATCTACCTTAGATAATGCGAGCACCTCTTTGCTCGTTTGGGTTCAGTTTTTGACTGGAAGGGAGTTGTTCCATGATATTTTAATTGGAACCAATGCCAAAGCTGGGGTTGAAATATATGCTCCTCAATTTTTTGCTCGCCAGTTTGGTTTTGGCCAAACTTGGCCTGTTCCCCCTTGTTATTCAAAAATTTTGATAGGCCGCTTTCACACCATTAATAAGGCAGAGACACAAGCTATAGATGCTCGCAGTATTCTTTTGATGAGTAACTTTTCATTAGCCCCTTCAATCCTAACAGTGCCGTTTACCTCCTTTTTGAACAACTCTGGCCATCAATGAAGCACAGATTGTTTGCCACTGATGCCAATCGTGCTTTCCATTCACTGGATCAGCCAAACATTTTTTTCACTTCTCCTATCTTGGTCACCCCTATATCCATTAGGAATCTTTCCTCCCCTATTCATGGTAAACAATCTGTTCGTCCCTCTACTTATCTACTTGCCAAACCTACTGCAGCTAAGAGTGCCCCAAGCCGCAAATGGCTAGCTTCAGCATTTCCCATTTTGGAGGATGATGATGATGATGACGATGACACTCTCATTGTCAGGAGAAAGGTAATCGAATTCTGTTTACTCACAAGCATACCTTTCTATGTGCTAATGGTTTTCTTGAATTTTTCAGAAAAGTTCGGCCTCTCCTTTGAAGGCTTTGGTGTTGGCAGCTCCTGTTCCATCATCCTTTGCTGGAGCTGATTCGTCCAAACTAGTTGATGAAGGGACTACGCTTAAAGAGAAACCTTCAGTCCTGGAACTTTCATCACAACCAATAGACGAGCCACCTTCTTCCCAGGGCGCCGACCCCCCAAACGTCGAACCAGAAGGTAATAAATTTTTTGATGTTTTACCTCTGCTTATGCTATTGATTTCTGATTTGTTGCTTCTTTAATCATGCAGAGGCTCCTATGGGTCTGCTCGTTGTGGCAGAGTCTTCTCGTCCAGACAAGGGGGAGTCTCCACAGGTAGTGGGGCCACAAGTGGTGGAGCCAATTGGTGATATGTCACCTTGCAAAATTGCTGATGAGGTAACCTTTTACTTGACTTTTATTTTCACTTTGTTTATTGTAGTGGAAACCTTCAATGTTGGCATTTTTCTTTGCAAGATGTTGATGAGATCGTGCGTTCCATCCGGGATTTGTTCAATTCCTGGGGGCAAGTCAAGATGTCTCGCCCTACTTCAACCGGTCGTCCTTCTGCTTTTTCAAAGGAAGATATGAAGTTCCTCAAGTAGTCGATATTTGAGTATGTATCTTTTATGGACATGGACATCGGTCAAGCTAGTGCTGCCAAACATAAGGATAAGCTTGAGCATTTGAGTGCGAAGTTGGCGCAAGCACTGACACTTCCGTCACTCAATATTTTTGCTGATTTTAAAATGACATTGAAAGTTGTCCATTCTGACATCCTCCCTTTACAGGTCAAAAATGTTGAACTGAAGGCCAAGAGTACTCAATATCTTCGCACTGCATCTGAAAGAGAGTCTTTTCTTTTGGAGATCAACAAAGCTGAGGACGAATGAAAGAAATCTCTTCTGAAGTTATGATTGAAGACTCTTTGATGACCTGTTTGGCTGCACAGATGAAGGAGCTTCAAGCAAGGATGGATGACTGTAAGGCAAGAATGGTTGCTAAAAAGCGTAATGCTTCTCAAGGAATTGAGCGAACCAAGTCTTTGGTCGAGCAGTACAAGAAGCTGGAGGTTGATGATGATTTTGTAGCTGAATTGAATGTCACTTCTTCTCAGCAGAGCGAGGATTGGGGGAAACTTAGGGAAAGAATTCGCTCGGTCTGGGGCGAATTGTAATTAAGACATCTAATGCCCTAACTTTTCTTTTTGTAACTTCGTATTAACTTTCCTCTTGTAACCTCATACTGATAGTCATTGCCAATTTTGAATATAACAGCAGACATTGTCATTAATGAACAACTAATTTGTCTTCTTGTGTATTTATTGACGTTTGTCCTTAATTGTCAACCCTCAAGCATTTAACTGCTTTATGATAAGATTCATGTTCATTCTCTTTTGGTATTTTTGTCTCTTTTCCCAAGACTTTTGGGCCGCTTGACTCCAATTAGTAGGCACGAACGTGGCTGTTCATATTCTGTCTCTTCACCTTCACGTCCCTATAAATGCACGTATATCTCGCACTTTTCATTTTCATTTCTATTCTTTTCTTCAAAAACTAATTTGCTTCCATCATTTGGCATCTCAACGATCGATCCAAAATTTTCGTCTTCCATAGAAATGGATCATTTGATCCACCCATTTTACTGCCTGTTTTGATGTGACCTTTGGTATGGGAGATATAGGAAATATTTTTTGGCCAGCAAAGTTCTTTCCATCGTCTCTATGTTCTTTACAAGGAGTTCAATGATGGAAGGCAATTTTTGAAGGTGCCTGCCAAGCCACCTTGCTTATTGAGAGTACTTCTCAGTCTCCTTACCCGTTATTACAACGATGCATTTAGGTAGGCGATGTGAAGGTGCTTCTCTTCCCTTCTACTTGTTGAGAGTGCTTCTCGGCCTCTCTGCTTACCTTTGCAGCAGTGCGATCAGGATGGCAATCGAGGCCAGTTCACCCTCTTACTTGGCGATCGACCAAGATATTAGTTTGCTCTCAATTGTGGCTTATAGAGCATTTAGTATTTTGTATCTTGCAACTTTGTAATGAACTTTTGATAATAAAGGAATTTACTTGAACGTATTTCGCTCTGGCCCTTTTTTATCTACAATTGTTCAACACGATTTGATTACACTTTTATTTATTCACTTTTCCTTAAGGAAGGAACATATTTTTTTAAATATTTGCCATTAATGAACCTTATGCGCTTGGTGCCATCTAAATCTTCCAAATGATAGGCTCTATTAGGCAACACACTATTTACTTTATATGGGCCTTCCCAATTGGGCGACCACAAGCCATATTTTAGATCTTTGCTATCCAAGGGGAGTATTGTTTTCCAAACCAATTCGCCCAGGCTAAATGACTTGGCTATAATTTTTTTATTATAAAACTTAGCCATCATTTGTTTTTGAACTTGCAATCTATCTAGGACGTCCAACTTTAATTCGCCCAACTCCAATAAGTTCTGAACTAGTGATTCGGTATACTCATTATCATTTAACTTATTTTGCAAACACACTCTGATCGATTGTACGTTAATTTCCACAGGCAAAATGGTCTCTTGTCCATAAGTAAATTGGAAATGAGTAATTTTGGTACTTGATCGAGACGACGTCCTATAAGCCCATAAGGCATTGTTTAGACATTCGTGTCAATTTCTGACATTTTCATCTATCATTTTCCTTATGTTATTTTTTAGAATCTTATTAGAAGATTCTGCTTGTCTGTTGGATTGAGCGTAATATGGTGTGGAGTTTACTAATTTAACTCCAAACTCGCTCAAGAATTTATTCACTTGATCTCCATTTAAAGAAGTTTCGTGATCTACCATCAAAGTTTGTGAAATTCCAAATCTATAAATAATATGATCACGGATAAATTCTATGACACTTTTTTGGGTGATCTCCTTTAAAGGTATCGCTTCTACCCACTTAGTGAAAAAATCAGTTGTAACTATAACAAAGGTATGTTGCTTGGACGATGGGGAATAAATCTTCTCTATTAGGTCTATCGCCCAACCCTTAAACGGTCAAGATTTGATAATAGGTGTCATCTCTCGTGCTGACGCCCTTTGTGTTGGACCATGCTTTTGGCATGCTAGACAACTCTTTGCTTACTGAACGCATGATTCTCCCATCTTGGGCCAAAAATATTCATTCCTAATAATTAACCATCTCATCCTTTGGCCAGCTTGATGAGCTCCACATATCCCTTCGTGCACCTTAGCCATAATTGTCCTGGCTTCTTGCAAACTTATACATTTTACTAATATACCATCAGAGCGTTTCTTAAACAACTCTTCATCTATCGGTTTATAATTTAGCAAACGCAACTTAATTTTTCTACTATCTCCTTTATTAGGTTCTTTAAGGAACCTTTTAATCTCTGCCCTCCAATCTATTGCATCTCCATCTTGTATGCAATAAATTTCAATCCTTCTCGCCCTTCTTTGGACTATGGGTAATATTACTCCATATTCATAAGTAGATTTCCAATTTAAAACCTTTGAATACTTTGAGGCCATTTGGGCCAACTCATTTGCTACGTCATTATATATCCTATTAACACATTGAAGCTCTACTTGGTCGAATTCTTCCAACAACTCTTAGACAATTTCATATTGATTTATAATGGAATCACTTTGGCATTTAAAATCACCAATCAATTGGTGAATTACCAATTGAGAATCGCCTCTAATGATCACATTCTTTACTTCCATATCTATCATTAATTCTAGGCCCACAATTAAGGCTTCATATTCGGCTTGATTGTTGGTACACATCCTATCCAAAATGAATGCGAACTTGTAACAAATATTTAAAGGATTTATTAATGCTACTTATACTCCTACACCTTTAGAAATTTTTGACCCATCGAAATACAAAACCCAAGGTTTTAATTCGAACGAATTGATTTCTAATTCAATTTCTTCAGGCATGTCAAGGCATGGATGATCGGCCAGAAAGTTAGCCAAAGCTTGATTTTTTATTGCCTTTTGGGGTATGTAATGTATTTCGAATTCTGATAAAGCTAACGTCCAAAGGCCTATCCTTTGGTGTAAAATAGGGCGAGAGAACATATACTTAACAAAATTTACTCTAAAAATCAAATAAACGGTTACGAGCCGTCAATAAGCCCTTAGTTTCATACATGAGAAATATAATGCAAGACGTAATTTTTCAATGGCAGAGTAATTACATTCACATTTTTTAACCGTCTACTCAAATAGTAAATCGCCATTTTTTCACCAAATTGGTCTTCTTACGCGACCATCCCAGCTATTGATTCTTGTTCAGCTAATATATATACTTTCATTGGTCGTCCTTAGATTGATGACACCAACACTGGTGGACTTGATAAATATGTCTTTAGGCTTTCAAAAGACTTTTGATGCTCTTCTTTCCAGACGAATTCGTCCTGATTTTTCAACTTTAAAAGTGACGAAAAAGTTTTAGTTCACCCTGCACAGTTAGAAATAAAGCGTCTTAAAAAATTTATTTGGCCTAGAAACCTTTGCAATTCTTTTTTGTTGTTAGGTGGTTTGACCTCTAAAATGGCCTTCACTTTATTTTTATCAAGTTCAATCCCCCTTTTGTATACTAAGAAACAAAAGAAGTTTCTTGCATTAACGCCAAATGCACATTTCAAGGGATTCAATTTTAGTTTATATTGCCTTATTCGCTCAAATGAACATCTCAATTGTTCAAAATGGTCCTCTTCTTTAATGGATTAACTACTATATCATCTATATACACCTCAACAAACTTGCCTATCATATCATGAAAAATCAAGTTCATTGCCCTTTGATAAGTTGCTGTTGTATTTTTTAGGCCGAAGGGCATAATATCCATTCAAAATATCCTAGAGATTCAGGGCACCTAAAGGCAGTTTTGTGTATATCTTCCTCAACTATATAAATTTGATTGTATCCTGAATACCCATCCATGAAGGAATATATTACGTGTCCGGCAGTCGAGTCTACTAAAAAATCTACCGTAGGCATTAGATATTCATCTTTGAGTTTGGCTATGTTTAAATTCCTAAAATTTATGCACACCCTTAATTTACCATTCTTTTTTAGCACTGGCATGATATTGGACAACCATTCGACATATCTAGCTGTTCTAATAAAGCCTGTTTTTAATAATCGCTCTTTTCTTTCTTAATTTCAAGGAGCACATTAGGAGCAAAACACTTAGGAGGTTGTTTATAAGGTTTAAAGTTTGGCTTGGTTGGTAATCTATGTTCCACCAAACCTCTATCTAAACTAGGCATATGTTCATATTCCCAAACAAAACAATCCTTATATTCTTTTAATAAAGCGATTAATTTATCACTAACCTCTTGATCGAGCATCTGGCTGACGAAGGTTGGGCGATCTTCCCCTTCATTGCCAATATTCACTTTAATTAGAGGGTCTTGTGCTTGAGCGTATCCAGGCTTGGTGATCCTCATTACTTCATCGTCCAATTCCGTTATAGGCACTTCTTCTTCTAAACAATCCACCTTATTGATTTCTCGGCCAATATTTTGTTTCAACTCGAACACTGCCAATTTGTTTCTCAATGCTTTCAAGGCTGCTTCTTCTTTCATCTTGTCCTTGCATTTTTTATTGAAAGCCATTAATTTGGGTTTGAAGGTTTGAACATCGGTCATTTGCCTTTGTTGCTTACAACTTATTTAAAATTCCTTGATTACTCCTTTGCCAATTTCTGGCTCTTCTAGGGCCACTATGCTTGGCCTCATTTGACTGAACATTTCAGTGAGTGCATCTACTGAAAACAGCTCTTCACTTTGTGCGACAATTTGAGTTTCTTCTCCATCTTGAACTACTCTGACAGGCCCATAACTTCCTTCGTACATGAACATTTCCACTGAGTTTGCTTCTGCGACAAAAGGCCTATGATCGGCCTGCACCACTTCTGCTTCACCCTTATCATCCAAAAAAATCAGGCATTGATGGAGCGATGAGAGTATACAGCGACTTCCGTGTATTCAATCTCTTCCCAATAACACATTGTAACTAGTAGGACCATCTATTATAAAGAAGACTGTGATCCTAGTAGTTGTCCCTATAGTTATGTCCAATGGCATAACACCTTTAGCTGAAATTGCTCCTCCATTGAAACTTGTAAGGATTACTTCCGTTGGAATCATATCATTTTCTGTCTTTGCAAATTTCCTCATCATCCTAGATGGAATGGTGTTTATAGCTGCTTCATTATCAACAAGTACTTTTGTCACAGGTATGCCGTTAACTAAAGCTTTAACGTACAATGGCCTCAAGTGTTTAGTCAACTTCATGTCTGGTCTC